TGAACGGCATTCACAGGGACTCAGTCTCGAGTTATGTAGACTCTAGACCTGTGAATGCCGTTCTAGGCACACCACCCCCGGACATTGACGAGACGGAGCTTCATCTGCCTCGGGAGACGCGCACCACACTTGCACAACTTCGCTCCGGCTACTGCAGCAGGTTAAACTCCTACCTGAGTAGGCTGAATGAGGATGTGCCTAATGAATGTCCGGCATGCGGAGAGACCCCACATGACTCGAAACATCTCTTCGCATGCCCGGCAAACCCGACATCCCTAACGACCTTGTCCTTATGGGCAAACCCCGCAGAAACTGCACGCTTCCTAGGGCTGCCGTTAGTGGAACTTGACGGCAACGACTGAGATACCAACCGATCTGGGCGGGGTTGTTGTAGCCGCTACAACAACAACAAGGAGGGATCACTCGGACTTATTGAGCATTAACACATTCTTTTCAGACCGTCTGAAACTACTTTTTCGTGGACAAGAAGGGGAAGAGAGAAGCAGTTTACTCCAGAAATTTCATACGCCGACAAATTGAGTATGACTACGGTCTGAAACACACATATATCGCAGGTTTAATAATATAACGAAGTATTTCAAACACAATCAAAGTTTTATCAATTCATATAGTTGGTATACAAAAAGATAGATTTGCACATATTTTCTAGCATGCCACATCTACTTCAACTTCCATGAGACGGCGCACAAATTATGTGGAATATTTGTGGCTGGGCGGAAACTCCACTCCAAACACTTCACAATATCAGCCAAATTTGCGCAAACGCTTCTACGGAAGGATGATAAGACTAAGGCCTAGGACAACCGAATTCCGCGAATCAGGAGCACCTCAGGTTAACCTTCGCCAGCTCAAAAGAGTCGGTTGGACTTCGAGCATGATTTATGAAGAAATTAAGACTGTAACTTCTTCTCTCACATGAGCAAGGTATGGTCAACAGGAGGTGACTGTCCAATAAGACAAAGCGTGACGACAGAGTCGAAATCTCTGGACCTGGAGCGATGCGCGAGCTATTTTACCAACACCTTGTGTGCGTCTTGTTTTTACCAGGGGTGAAGTTCGGATAACCTTCAGGAAGGCGAAGCCTCCAAAGCCATCGGACCGACGGGAGCAGACTACCTTACCAAGGTCCTTAACGCGTGCATGCTCACGCTCATCATTCCGGATATCTGCAAAATGGGGAGGGTGGTCCCACTGCTCAAACCGGGGAAACCGTCCAACATGGGAGTGTCTTATCGTCCGATGACTCTCCTTTCCCTGGTAGTGAAGACACTTGAGGCCTTGCTACTCCCGCAGTATACGAACCACCTGACCACAAGGAGGTACAACAACTGCACTTAACGCCATTAACACTCAGATAACACATGGCATTAACCGAAACTGCCCTTGTAAGAGAACATTCCAAGTAGCGTTGGATCTGTCAAAGGCGTTTGACACCGTCAGTCACTTCGCGCTTCTAGAAGACATTGAGGCTTCCTCTCTCCCACAAGACCAGCAAACCGAGGAAAATTAAACAGGGGGTCACACAGGATGGTGTCCTTTCCCCTCTGCTGTTTAATTTTTACAGATGAAATCTCCCTCAAGCACCAGAGGTAGTAGCGATTGTCTTTTGTGATGTCTGGAAATTGATTGTGCTCGTAAGTAAACGGTTACATCTCCGAACTTTCTCGCTTCTTCAGTGCAAGCAGCCTAACCCTCTCCATAATATCCCAACTTCTCTCTGACTACTGGAGCAGACATTTCCAATGAACGCCCGGCATGCGGGGGTCGCCACAGGACTCACGGCACCTCTTCGCATGACTCCAAAACCTCACCCAGCCAACGCACCTGCCCCCAAGGACAGACCCGGTGGAAGTTGCACACTTCCTGGGCCTCCCTTTAGCTGAGCCTGATGACAACTTTCATGGACAAGCCGACCCGAGCGGGGTTTAGTAGCCACTAAAACAATAACTAAACTCTTCTTTCGTGAGTCTGGTGAAAAAGTCATAATTATTGCATCATCCGTTATAGAATGCTTACAACCATTTATGATTAAATTCATTGCAATTCTTATTATCTATAATAAACATGTTTTTGTTAAGAGTCCGAAAGACTTACCTAGGGTTTGCGTCGCAGTGCAACATTTTCAACTTTCTTTTAATTTGTAGTAGTTTTTAATTATATCAGACAACTTATTTTATTTTAATTATACCTTATTTAAAAAGTCTGCTACAAAAACTCTACAATTTAGTCTGTTCCAATTGCAGTCCGGTTTACAGGATTTAGTCAGAACTTACAGGAAGTCGTTCCTATTGACATAAAACCTGTAAGTGGGAACACATTTGAGAGAGTAACTGAGCAACTGTTCCTAGTCAGAAGTTACAGGATTTAGTCCGGAGATTTTTTTCCTGTAAGTTCATGAAAAGTGTCAAACGATCAGCTGATTTACATGTGCAAACAAAAACAGAAAGCGGTGAAAGCAAAGAACCTTATATTTGTTAAAAAATGGAAGTAAATAACGAAATATTTGAATATGTATAGATTTTAATAATTATTTAGTGATATTTCAGCCAAATCAGTGTAGTACCAATGACATGTAAACAAACCGTCTGACGTTTTTACAGGAAATAGTGCTTTTTGCGTTCCTATGCACTTCTGCATCTGTTTTCCTTTTACTCTCATTTGAGAGCGTAAAATTGTAGTTTGACAGTTCCACAGGTTTTAGTCCGAAGTTCAAAGGAACAGACTAATTATGTACATTACTGGCTTTTGTTTCGTCCCTAAAAGAAAAACGAGGTCCCAAAGACTCTCCCGGTAATGAAAGGGTAAATGTTGCACAATATATTTTTTAAATTTGCAAAGTTCAAAACGTAAGCAACGTTATTAAATAAATATGAAATGCAACCCTACGTTTCATTTATTCAGCGCATATTCAGCCACTGCACAGCTGTTGATGATAAGCAGCTGATCAATTGAATTTGTCCGATAGTGTTGCGTACTCAAGAGTATTGGCCAAAAGTTATGCCCCGGTATATTTTTTAACATTATAGTACATATATAACAAAATTAAAATATATTTATTAGATTCGATTTAAAACAAATAATATGTGATGTGATAAGATAGGTTAATAATTATTGTTAAATAGTAAAAAGTGCAAAAATTTGATACAGTTGTACCTTCAGCTTTGTGTTTTACACCCAAAATGGGAAATTTTCGAAAGTAAACAACACTGGCATTGTTTATGTTTTTTGTGATAATTCGCCGCGTGCACATTTTTGCGCTATTTCCAAAGTTTGTAATAAATAAATAAAAAAGCATTTTGTATTTTGCAAATTTAAAATGGCAAATGCTGAAACCAGTGAAGATGCTCACACTGCCACCCTCAAGGAGTTAATAACATTTATGCATCCCACACAAAGGCTGGATTTGAAAGCGGTAGCATTGACACATGTGCTCTGTAGGTAAACATATTCCTATTCTATATCTAAAATTGACCTTTCGTTAACTAATAGCTTTGACTGGTTCTGAAGAGGGCAAGAAAGCCATCTTGACACTGGATGATGTGCTAGTAGCGCTTTTCAATCTCACAAACGATGACAATCATACTGTGGCCAAGGATGCCATATTGAGCCTTATCAATCTGTCTGCGGAAGGAGAGGGCGCTATACGAGTGTATGAAACTGCAAAGTCGCTTATTCCAGTAGGAAGATACTTCTATATTTTTGCTTGACCCTACATATTCTATATTTAA